AGTCCCGAAAGCCAGAGCTGTGGATGGAGACATAGGAGCCCTTCACATCTTTCTTTGGTAGTGCGGGAGTGCTCTCAGCAGGAGCCTGGGGCTCTTCATCTTCCTCATAATCCAGAAGCTCATTTTCTACATCTTGTTCTGCCATAGTGCTTGGTTTCTCGTTCACCTCCGCATGCTAAGAGAAAGATGGTCCAACGCCGGTTATCCGTCGCGCGCCAGCGCTCTTGGAGGCCGCGTTTCCTGCCCTAAAGGCTAGATTTAATAATCAAATTCAGTAGCATAGCTAGATACAAAGTCAACACTCAAAAATCAATAGCCTTCCTGTATACAAATAACAAATTCAGAGAAAAATTACAGAAACAACTTCCACAATAGCATTAAAAAAAAAAAAAAACCCACAAAAATATTTAGGAATCAATCTAACAGAGAATGTAAAAGATCTCTACATTCAAAGCTACAGTACTCAAAAAGGAGATCAAAGAGGATATCAGAAAATGAAAAGATATCTGCTGTTCTTGGGTAGGAAGACGCAATATAGTGAAAATAGCCATTCTTTCAAAATTATACAAATTTAATGCACTTCTGATCAAAATTCCAACAGCATATCTCACAGAATTATAGAAAACTACCCTGAAGTCCATTTCGAACCAGAGGGGACCTAGACTACAAAAGCAATTCTAGGCAACAAAGATATGGCAGGAGACATCACAATCTCTTACTTGAGATTATACTCCAGAGCTACTGTGATAAAATAGTACAGTACAGGCCAAAAAACAAATGAACAACAACAACAAAAAAAAACCCAGACCCAAGCATCAGTGAAACGGCTTAGAAGATGCAAAAACAAGGGCTGCCCAAATAGCTCAGCAGATTAAAGCACCTGCAAGCAGGCGGAGGGGCTGGGGTTCTGTGCTGGCCCTGCCCCCGGCATGTGCTCAGATGGCAATTGAGACTAGGCTGGTGGCACGCATCCGTAATGCCAGCACTTGGGAGGTTGTAAATAGGAGAATCACTACAAGTCCGATCTAGTAGTGAGACCCTGAACACCCTGTAGGCTCTTCCCTACAATACAGGAAAGAAAAAAAAAGGTGCAAGAACAACTCCAAACAAACTCAGCCACCTTATCTTTGACAAAGGAGTCAAACAGTTTCACTGGAAGAAAGATAGCCTCTTTAATAAATGGTGTTGGACAGCCAGGGTGTAACTCAGTGGCACGAGCACCTGCTTGGCAAGAGCAAGGTCTGAGTTCAATTCCTAATACCCCCCCCAAAAAAAAGTAAAGAAAATTATAAATAGTTCTATGAAAACTGGCATTTCACATGCCAAAGATAAAACTGAGACCTCTATCTTTCACCATGCACTAAACCAAAATTGAAAAGGAGCAAACATCCAAATATGAAAACAGAAACACTAAATCAGATGGAAGATAGAATAGATAAAATTTTTCATGATACTGGTGTAGGCAAACACTAATGAACAAAACCTCAATCACATAGGAATTATTATTTCTTTTTAAAGATTATCTAACTTTTTTTTTTAATTTTAATGCTTTATTTATGTGTGTGTGTGTGTGTGTGTGTGGCCAGCTCAGCCC